GGTGTGGACACCAAGGTTAGAGAATGTTGCAAAAAGAAAGTAGTTAAAGCTGTCAAATGCTGCTGAGAAGCACATAAGAGAAGATAGGAAAGATCTTAGATTTGTCAAGTCAGAGGACATTGACAAAAGCCATTATAGTGTAGTAATGGAGATGGAAGACAAATTGGAGTGAACTGAGAAGAAAAGATGAAGTGAGAAAAGGGTGAGAGCAAATATAGCTTCTCTGTGTCTCCGTGATCAAAAGTAGCAATCAGCAGTCAGAGCACAGACTCCCCATGTTGGGAGGACAGGGTCTTTTGTGTCTACTCTGGCTCCGGCAAGCACACACAAGCTGCTTCTGGAGTATGTGCAGGGCTGCCTGCCACAGGCCTGGGAGATGGGGGATGGGTAGCTGCTCCTGTGGCTAAGAGCTGACATTGACTGAACCTAACTGCAATTTACCATCCAAGCCTTTGCCTGGAAGTTGCAAGCCTTCAATAGACTCTAGAGTTCCAACATGGTTATATTAGATTCTGCCAATGCAATTGATGTCTAGGTGGGGAGACTGATTCCTGGTGCTTCCTACTCCACCAGCTTCCCAGAATCCTTTCCTCAAATGATTTTTTGAAGGTGGGATTTGTTAGAGACTATTTCTGGGAATAGTCAACAGGGAAAAAAAAAATCATAATGATACAAAAGAAATTGAATATTATTGCAGTCATCACTCTTTGAGAAAGGCCAGGGAGGATAGGCTTCAGAGCAAAAAGAGAGGTGTTCATCTTTGCTGGGAACAGAAAGCTTCCATATACTGTAAAAGGACAGAGGATGAGAAGAAAGAACTGACGGTGGAAATGTGTAGGTAAGTTGGTAGATTTGGTGGTAGGAAGCAAAGGAACTTCCTGTAATTGTTTAAAATTTTTCAGTAAAATACAAGGGTAAGTTATCAGCTGAGAACACAGTGTAAAAAGTGGGAAGGAATCGTTGAAGGTTGGAGAAAAGAGGAGAAAATATGAATTAATCATTTTTTGCAGGCAGAACATCAAAGGTATCTTAAAAAGTATATAAGGTTGTTATGGAGAATCAACTGCTTTCTTCAGATTTAGGATAAGAATCATAATGGCTGTGGTGCTCTTCTCTGGTGTCAGTCAGCTACTTGTGGAAAGGCATAGAGTGGGTAGGTAAGAGGCTTAACTAAAGTGACAAAGATCAGTAACTGTTCCCAAATATCCATTTTTCCCTTTCCTTTAGTAATAAAATTCCCTGAGTGTTAGTTGGTCTTGCCCAGCAAGATATTACATTTTTGAGCTTCCTTTGCAGCTGATTGTCACCCTGTGCTTCCATTAGATCCAGGATATATAAGAGGTGATGTGGGCAACTCCTGGAACATCTTCCTAGAGAGTAAGCCATGTGTCTTGGGCCTCAGCAAGTAACTACTGTTAGAAGTTCATAAATAACAGAAAACCAGTGAATGACCAATTAGTAATTCATAAAAGTTTATTGTGCACACACCAAAATACAGTTTGCAAACCAGGAGCCCTCAGACCAAAACATGGAATGAGGCTCAGGGTATATGGTTAGAGGGCAAGGCCCCTTCTGTAAGGGGTAGTTTATATAATGGGAAGGCAGTGGTTATTTATACTTCACGGTGATTGGTTAGAATATTAGAATTTTCATAAATGATAGAGAATTGGTCTGTAGTGACCTCATATTAACCTTGGGAACCAGTTCAAGTTTTGCTTATGATTTCCAGACACACAATCAAGAAATAACCCAGGTCAAGTTAGTCTTGCAAAATAAGCTAAATTAAGCTTTGTATGAAGGTCAAGGAGATAGCAATATTTGGGGTTGTAGTGTGTGATAGCATGAACTCCATAGGATCCAAGTTTTGAAGAGGAAGGAGAATGATTTATGAAGCAAAGAGGATACCTCTCTTCTCTCTCATCTTCAAGCCCACAGGTACGTGGTGTAAGAGAAAAAAACCACATCCTGTTGCGAGGACTTCAGGGCAGTGGGAGCATGTGCCTGGAACAGGGGAATAGCAGTGTTTCAGTCGGGTTGGAAATGAAGGCAGATGGGAGTGAAGGGACTGTCCAGAGAGGATATCATAGATTAAGAGTACTGATGACAGGTCTTGAATCTTAGAGGCACAGGAAATGTCGAGGGAGCTAGGGAGGAGTGTAAGAGGGAGATGTATTCATAGACGAATTGGGGTGATGGGTGAAAAGAGTTGGGATTTCTAGCAGTTCCTGAGGCTCATGGAAAAACACATATTGGCATAGTGATGCTAAGGTCCAATTAGAGGAAGGTTAGGAATTGGTTTAAGGTGGGAAGCACAGACGACCCAGCAGTCTTGCAGCCAGTTGAGATCTAGCACCTAAAGATCAAAGACATATGAGAGTTTGGTGTCTTGGACAGTTGCAGTGATGAGAAGCAACAGGAACAGCAGTCTCACTGGAAGCTCCAGGAACTCTGTTAAGTCACCTTATTTAAAGTCTCTGTGCTTCAGTTTCTCAATGACATGAATGAGATGGGGGATGATAATGGTACTTAATTGATAATTATGCAATAGATTGAATTAATGACTCCAGTTCTTCACCCCTCCCTATGTGTACGCCCTTCGCCTGTGACTTTGCAGTATATTAAACAGATGGGGTCTGTTCTCTTTCGCCATTAATCTGGGCCTGGTCATGTGAGTCCATTTGGCCAACAGAATTTGGTAGAAGTGGGGCGCCTGGGTGGCTCAGTTGGTTAAGCGACTGCCTTCGGCTCAGGTCATGATCCTGGAGTCCTGGGATCGAGTCCCGCATCGGGCTCCCTGCTCGGCGGGGAGTCTGCTTCTCCCTCTGACCCTCCTCCCTCTCCTGCTCTCTCTCTCATTCTCTTTCTCAAATAAATAAATAAAATTAAAAAAAAAAAAGAATTTGGTAGAAGTGATGGTGTGCCATTTCTGACGTCAGGCCCTAAGAAGCCTAAGTATTTCCACTCCTGCCTTTCCATGAAAATGACCTACCCAGGCAAACTTGTCAATTCCAAGAGGAGGATAAGAGACACATACAGTGGATCTGCCCTAACTAAGATGCCCCAGCCAAGCCCAGGCTAGGGCAGGGTTCCCAGGCAACACTTAAGCACATAAGCGAGCCCGGCCTAGGTCAGCCAGTCCACAGTAGACCACAGATATGTGAGCTTAATAAGCAAGAACTATTGTTTTAAGCCACTGAGGTTTGGAATGGTTTGTTATACAGAAATAGCTAGCCGATATAAAATATAAGGCATCAAACGTGGTACATGGCATTCGATTATTACTCAATTAATGTTAGTGTTCTAGTTACTATGTAACTAGAACTAGAATGTAACTACTATGTAACAAATTACCCCAGAACTTATTGGCCTGAAACAATTATTTATTATGCTCATGAATTATGAGGATCAGGAATTCGGACAGAGTACAGCAGGAATGGCTTATCTCTTTTCTGTGACATCAGGTGCCTCAGCTGGAAGCCTCAAAATCTGCGGGCTGGAATCATTTGAATCTCCACGCACTTATGTGTCTTGGTTGATTCCAGCTGTCAGCTGAGACCTTAGCTAAGACTGTTGAGTGGGATACCTACATGTGGTCACTGGACGTGGTCTGGGCTCCCTCAAAACATGGAGCCAGGGTGGAAAGGTGAGTGAACTCAGAGAGAAGGAGGCAGAAACTGCATCCTGTTATGACCTCACCTTGGAAGTCACATAGCATCACATCCACTGTGCTCTATTCGTTGGAGCAGTCGTTAGACCCACCATTCAAAGCCCAGATTCAAGGGGTGGGGAAATAGACTCCACAATTTGATGGGGGCTGGAAGGTTCTGGAAGAGCATTTGGGACTGGAAGTATTGTTATTTATTGCATTAATTTGGAGGAAAATATAGTCTGTCCTAGTTAGCCATTTTTATTTCTCCTATTCTCATCAAATAGATATACTGATTATATCTAAATCCACCATTTATACTGAGTTCTGCCTACTTTACTTACATAATGGTGTTCCCCCTACTTGTGCACTTGCCCTCCTGGCCATGCCCTACTTTGCCTTTTGAAGTGGTACCCTTTCCTTCAAGAGTTGGCCCAAAACATATCCCTTCTCCAAAACTTTTCCCTGATTGCAATAATTCATTTGCATTCCTCCCCAGATTTCTAAAATCCGTCGTGTAGCACTCTTTGTATATACCTTGCATTATACATTATCTTGCTATATATAATTCTTTCTGAGGGCAAGAATGACAATATTTAAGCTTTCTAATGTACTTGGCTAAAACCAATTTTTAAAAAAGATTTTATTTATTTATTCAACAGAGAGAGACACAGCGAGAGAGGGAACACAAGCAGGGGGAGTGGGAGAAGGAGAAGCAGGCTTCCCGCAGAGCAGGGAGCCCCATGCGGCACTCGATCCCAGGACCCTGGGATCATGACGTGAGCCAAAGGCAGATGCTTAACCGACTGAGCCACCCAGGTGCCCCTAAAACCAATTATTTTGATAATCTTAAGAACTCCCCAACTATTTATTGTCTTTGTTGATGATGATGATAATATCAGGGAGTGGATAAGAATAGTCTGTAGTCACATGACAAATGCAACTTTCTAAGTGCATGCGAAATACTTCTTGCTGCAAATTCATTGCTTCATAGCATGTGTCAATGTGGTGCAACCTCCCAAAACCATTCTTAGGAGCATTTCTGCATGTGCTTGTTTAAAATATACGTATGACCTTTTCCTAAAGTTTCAAGATTAAGGGTGTGCTCATTTGTCCTTCAACCATCCCCTCTTCATTGGTTTTGGTTTTCCATTTGTGGCTCCTCTTTTTTCCCTTCAAACCCTTTATTTTTTTTATTTTTTTACAAAAGTTTATTCTTAAATGTACAACAGGATCTAAGACAACACTTCATTCCAGCTGTAGGTAGCAACAGATGCTATGACAGGGAATCCAGATGTTTAAACAGGAATGGAATTAAGGATCATCATTGCCTCGGGCACATGGAACAGCTTACTTTTTGCCAGATTTCTTAATTCCACCTGTGGCCAGGGGGCCCTTCCCTGCGGCCTTCGCTTTTAGCTCCTCGAGTTTCTTCTGCTCTTCTTTCTGTTTCTGCTTGAATGCCTTATCTTCCTCGTCCATCTCCTTGGCCTGCTTCTTGGACTGCTTCAGGGGCTTCTTGCCACCTTCGTGGCCAGACCTCCCTTCAAACCCTTTATACATCATCTTTGTTGTTTCTTGTAGCCTCATCTCCTCTCCTACGTTCACTGATACAGGGATTAAAATGAAATATTAAAACATTGTTACTATTTCTGTATTTCCTTATGTATGGATTCATGTTTTCGTAAATTCTAGGCTCCAGATATTTTCATGTCTATTTTTACTTTTTTTTTTTTAAGTGGCCTCCACACCCAGCAGGGAGCCCCACAAGGGGCTTGAACTCATGACCCCAAGATCAAGACCCGAGCCGAGATCAAGAGTCGGCCGCTTAACTGATTGAGCCACCCAGGCTCCCCTTTCATGTCTATTTTTAAAAAAATAGGTATCCATACGCTCATGATTTGGATACCAGCTATAGGACTGAGGAGGCCACATACTATTATGTAGTTTCTACGCTGCACAGAAGGACTCTTCCGAGAAGGCGGAGGTGAAACCCCGGGCTTGATCTACTTACAGTATTCTCTATGTTCTGATGTGGGGCTTTACCAGCCCAGAAAGTGGGATGCCCTTTTGTAACTCAAATGAAGTTGTCAAACGTGCTGCCCTTGCTCCCGATGATGCATTTGCTATCAAAACCATCTTCTGAACGAGGTATTTCTGGAGGGGGTGGACCATGTCTCATTTACCTCTGCATCCTTGGAACCTAATAGAACACAGAATGGGTGTTTCAAACATTCTTGAATGACTACTACATTGATTAGCAATTATTCCAAAGAAGAGTACTTTGCAGATATGTTAGTCATTGCTGTCACCTGAAAGTGGGGTGACCCACTCACAACCTTCCTGTAGGTGGCAGAGTAGCATAGATAAGAGTATGCTGATTTATGTCTGCTGATTCCTATGTTGCTTTCAGTACATGTTTGCTGCATGCCCAGAAGACCAATTCTTTTAGTCAATGATTGCTTTTTAACGAGGAGGATAAACCTAATAAATAAAAAACATTAAAAGGCAGCACACAACTGTTAACAGGCGGCAAATGAGATGTACGATTTGTTCAAAAAGAGTTCAACGTGGGAAGAAATAATTGGAGACCATTTCAGCCTCTGAGATACGTTCCTTTATCCGCCAGTACCAGCACATGAGTCCAGGCTCTCAGGGCTTTATAGCGTTTAGTGAAAAGAACAGAGAGGAAGAGAAGAAGAGGAAGAGGTGAGGGAGAGGAGAGAAGATAAAACAAAGTAACCCCTGGGGTTTGCTTTCTACAAGTGTAGAAGATATTTTATCTCGTTCCCTTCTGTTAACCTAGACTGTGTGGGGAAGGAAAGTACATGGTTTTCAGCTCTGAGTGTTTCTTTCTTTCTTTCTTTTTTTTTTTTTAAAGATTTTATTTATTTGTCAGGGAGAGAGAGCGAGCGAGAGAGTGCGCACAAGCAGGGGGAGCAGCAGAGGGAAAGGCAGAAGCAGGCTCAAGGAGCCCAATGCGGGACTCGATCCCAGGACCCTGGGATCATGACCTGAGCCGAAGGCAGATGCTTAACCGACTGAGCCACCCAGGCGTCCCTCAGCTCTGAGTTTTTCTAAAAATTGTATCTGTAAATTTTTTTAGACCTCTAAAGAAAAAAAATGTGAGTTTATGTAAGTTCTTTTTGGAGATCTAGGATAGACTTCTCTTTGGTTTGGAAAGATGCTTCAATGGGTCCATGACAGGATGCAATGGAGTGGAACTAAAATTTGCTTTGCATAAGAAAGTAAACTATAATGGAGACTCATTATACTTCTATTCAAGTTATTTGGTCTGCCATTCCACTCAGTGGGTCTGTGAGGCAGAGAAAAGATGCTGTCAAGCCTGAAACAGTCAATTCATGTTGGTAAAACTCAGGAAATAATTGTGACTCATTTTAACGGCTTCCCCACATTGACCGTGAACTGGAACACATTGTTCAGGTGGCTGGGATTTGGGGCGGTGATGACTCTGTCCGTATTCTCAATGAAGAAGCTGAAAAATTAATTGAGGGTCATAGGGCAACTTTCATTAAAGAAGACTTATGCCTTAGTCTACTTTATTTTATGGGCACTTTGATTTTCAAGAGTGTTGAATTTAGAACTTAATCCCCACTTAACATGAGATTTTAAGAATTTTTCAGTTTTCCCTTGGCAGTCAGGGAGACCATCTTTTGGGGACTTGAGGTGTTGGCTCCATTTACTCAGGCTAGAGGCGAGGGAGAAAGATGTATAACAAGGAGTCCCTCTGTGGGGTGTGAGCAGTGAACTTTCAGAGCAGGGATGTCTGGTATTGACTTTTAAGTTCTTTCCTGTTTTGTGCTGTACTCACTATTAATTGCTAACCTTCGATAAATGTCAGTTGTACCATCAGCCTTGAATTATTAGTACCTTGCAGAATGGAGAGAGGGGCTGCCTTCATTAAATATGAATGTATCTAAAATACTTAGTACACATGGTTGCACCGGAGTATAAACACTACATAAAAGCTAACTCATATTATGTTTTGGGAATAGAGAAAGCGCTGTCCAGCATGGAGGAATAAAGAGGAAATAGTTAGAGGTGATCAAGAAAAAGGTGGGAGGAATTTGGAAAAGAGCTGACAAATGACCCAGAGGACATTTAAATTCTCATCTTCACTTCCTCTCATTCCCAACTTCTCTTCCCACAAATCCTGAAGAACACTAGGGAGCACACTTGGCTTCAGAGAACTACTTGCATAATTATTCCACTTGAATATTAAAGTACAGGGGGAACCTTAGCAGGCTGAAACCTTTTGTCAATGTGGGACCTAGACAGGTCTCAAAACTTGCACAAGAGGACTCTGGATGGATAAGGATGGAAGAATAGGGCAAAGGAGTATATTATTCTCCAGCTAAGAAAATTTTATGCTGTTATTTGGCTATTAATCCTTCTGTGCACCTGCTATCAGTTATTAATACCAGGTAATTTCATACTGGCTAGGCTATAGAATTCTGTGTTCTGTTGAGGACACAGTTCTCTCAACAACAGGGGGCCAATTACAGATCATTTTATTTTGCAGTAAGATGTCCATGGCCTATTTGAACTAAACAAAACACAAAGCTTCGTTTATTTCTTGCCTTGTTTACTCAAAAAAACCCTTGATTTTCTTTGCCCTTAAGCTTTTCTCTAGTCCAAAAACACCTGGCACACTGTAGACAGATAAGTCTTTCTAGAATAGTGCTTTATTAGTAAGATTCTAAAATGGCTTCATAGCATTTACTGGGTTGAGTCGACCTCAGGCTAGATGCAAGCCCTCCCTCAGCTTGGCTTTGCTACCAACCTTACCTTTTTTAAGATTTTATTTATTTATTAGAGAGAGAGGGAGTGAGAGAGAGCATGAGAGGGGAGAGAGTAGGAGGGAGAAGCAGACTCCCTGCCGAGCAGGGAGCCCAATTTGGGACTCGATCCCGGGACTTTGGTATATGTGCTGCCGAAGCGAGCACCGATCCCGGGACTTTGGGATCATGACCTGAGCCGAAGGTAGTTGCTTAACCACTGAGCCACCCAGGCGCCCCCCAACCTTACCTTCTGATGTGCATGAGCCCTTCACTCAGGTCAGGCTCACCTTCCACTCATCCAGCATGCCACTTTGACATGACTCTTCCCAGTTCTAAACTCCCTTCCTCTTGCCACTGAGACCTCCAGGTCTCACTTAAAAGTCATCTTTTCGGTGAAAACCTTCCAAGTATTCTAGTCCATATTGATTTTTTTTTTCCCATCTGAGTTTATGTTGACATTAGTCATTTGGATTCATCGATTGAACAGTTACTTGTTGAGCACTGACAATATGCCAGGAACACATTGCAGATATGGTATTTGATTATGTACTTTTATATTTCTCACTTATATATGTATGCACTTATTGACAAGAAAACCTTAAGGATTATGTAATTTTGTTTTCTGACAGAATTGGCCAGAAAATAGGAACGCAATAAATACCTCTTGAATTGACTAAATTATATATATGATAAACTAGGATAAACAGTTGGTGTCACTTGTTAACATGTCATCTTATGATCATTAACATATTAACTGGGTGATGGGCATTCTTTATAATAAACATTTTTCCTTATGCCTCACCTCATTAAATCTTCCATAGTGACAGATTTTATTTAAAAATTTTTATTAATAGCTCATTTTCATAGCTCAAGAAAAGGGTATTACAGACGATAATCAGCAGAACAATTACAAACAAAACCTCACCTCTATAAAGCTAGCCAGTGTGTAGACTTTATTACATAGGCACATATTCTTTTTAAGAAAAGTAAACCGGTTTTACATAAAATTAATCACACTAGTACAAGAGGTTACATCAAATGAGGATGGATGATGAAGGAAGGAAAATAAAAGCCTTGGATCAGCTGAATCACTCATTGGATCTTGGATCCATCCATCCTGACATACTGAAATTCACTGATGGACATTACAAAAATGGAGGGTGAGGAGATCTCCTTTATCACACTCCCTGGCTAAAACACTGATTCTGTTTATTTTCTTGCATCTGGTAAGTTTTCTCCAGGTTCTGTTGGCAGGTAGACACAAAGGTCAAATGAATGCTGGCTTAGGGTCAGAGGAGCTCATAATCTTCCCTTCTTTTACCTCATACTTCAAAACCCTTAAACCCTTTGGTCCAACAGGCTGCTGTCAGGATTGGTGCAGCACATCTGCTTTCCCAGATCTGCTTGCTTTGGATACGACCTGGGGTTGCTGGTCCTGAAGCACACGGAGGCAAGATGAGGGTGGCTAGATGATGTCCATGACTAGCACTGAGGGTTTGATCTGAGGCACACAGGACTGACCAGGAAGAGGATGCTAGAATCCCTTGCTCAGTTAGAATCGAGCCATTACATTTGACCCCATTCTAAGTACAAGAAACTAAAATCATACTAACACATACCATAAAAGAGATGGTATTTTGTAGCTTCTGGATGTTTAAAAAAATTTTTAAACTACGTTTTCATGTTACTAATAGACAGTGGGGATACAGAGAACTGACCCTTGCTCTCATCTCATCTCATTTTGCCTTAACTGATTGACAAATAGTCCCAGAATGTTTATGGAGCATTTCTTTCCTCCCTCAATTTCTGCAGTCTTTTGTGTAAAAGGACATAACTATAAACCCTAGATCATCCTAATGTGGCCCCTCAGTACCCCTCAGTACCTTGGAGGGTTAGACCTACTTCTGCTTCAAAGTGATCCCCAAATCCTACCATCCATTTCGGAGCCCTGTCTGGTCTGTTCCTCCTCACACTCACAGCACTGTTTTGCTGGGTGATGCCGGTGTAACTTACAGAGCAGTGTTCTAACTGATGGTCACCATCCTTTTGATCCTCCAGCTACAAAACAGAGGACTGCAGGGTTTTCTGTGTTTGTTGTCTGGGCAGACGGTAAAGGATAGATACATGAAAAGGAAAAAGATGGGCCAGCTGATCTTGGTTCTTGGTTCTTAAGACTATATGAAGAATCCTACTGACATGAAGTATCACTGACAATGGCACCAAAGGATCTTTTATAAAATAATCCATAAAACTGGAGCCGGCAGGGACCATTAGTTCAGCTTTCTCATTTTTTTAGCTGAGGTTCCTGAGGCCCAACTGCGAAACCAGCAAGTTAACTTCACATGGTGATTGTCTCCATGACTATGTCCTTCAAAGCTTCATAGAAACCCTAATTTTCCCTTGATAAAGGGCACTTCCCTCCAATGACTTCACATCAACAATGCTCAGTGTCCTTGGCTTTGACCTTACCTCCCTTTAGGGAAGCTGGCTGACAGCACAGAACTTTGACCAGAGTAGACACTTGATAAACATTTGTTGAACTGAAATCGTTCTACTGTTATCCCTGCTACATAATCTTTTATTTTTCCTAGAGCTCCTTACTTTTAAGGGATGCCCTTTAGTTCAAGTCTTTTGAGGTGTGGTGGCTAATGCTGTATTTGTCACCTCTCTACACTTTGTCTTTTCATATTGAAATTCTAATTTTTAAGTCTGTTCTTTTATAGCTTTTCATTATACACAGTTATTATTTGCCTCTGTCCAGGCACTAAACACATTACCATGGATGATTTCTGTCTTTACAGACCTGGAATTGCAGATACGTGTTTTTTTCCCCCCAATTCTTAAAACAAAAACAAAAGACTAGGCTCTCAAGCAGATTTGCTAAGGCACAATACAAGAAATGTGACAATTCCATAGTCCTTCCTTTAGTTAATACATGGGAAAATATTACTAATACATTTATTTTCTACATCTTGTCCACTTTTAATTCCTTAAATACATAAATACAAGTCACAATATCCAAAGCAAGTTTCATTTACAAAGAGCTCAATTAAGAAACGATGAAGAAATGGTGATTTGTAGGGAATTGGCACTTAAACATTGGTAATGTTTAGGAAACATCTTTAAAACTTGGTAAGAATACCATGATTAATTTTATATAAAGAGTGGTCATGGTTTGGATGGGACTTGGTATAAGGTGTTAAAGACGATTTGCTTATACTAGGTGATATATTTTTTGTGTGGATATAATCTTTTGGATCAGTTTTGTTCAAATTTTCTGATAAACTGCATTCTTGACCTAAAGTCTAGAAATGCTAGAATTAACTACGATCACCATTTGTAGAAGAGCTAAAGTTACCAGCCCCAAGTGGGAGAACTCTAAAAGTAGGCTAGGTGGCAGTGCTTCTTACTCAAATTAATTTAATATTCCCAAGGCTTTTAAGAAAAAAAATTCAGATCATCCTGTGCTTTCCCACCACTAACCTTATAATGAAACTGAAAGCAGCTGTGAAATCATGATTTCATTTCACGAGTTTCATCCTCACTCTCTCAAACCTCCATCCTCTTAGGGTGACAAAGGAAGTACCCAGTAACATTGGTCAGTGGTTAATGTTGGGGAAAACAAGGACCTCGCACACCAAGACTGGCCATGCTTTCTTCTCCTGCTGGCTATTCAAATGGGCAAGATCTGTCAGGCTTGCAGGAACAAAATTGAGTCAATAATCTTCACTACGGATAGCATCTGTGCTATTTTATTTGGGGCACAAAAATGTTTTTCAATATGAGTAAGGTACACTGTAGTTTAAATTTAGCTGCACGTTAAGTGCTGACAGTTATTATTAGTGGACAGGGGAAGCAGGAATAAAAAGAAATTTAAGTCTTCCAGGAAATAAAGCATGCTTGCTTGCTTTAATATAAGTATCTGATGATAGATAAGTAAGGGCTAAGTATCTTAGAGTTTCAGGGCCAGTGTTCGTTCAGCAAACACTTATTGAATACCTATAATTTCTTTTTTTTTTTTTTAAGTAAGCTCTACACCCAGCGTGGGGCTCGAACTCACAATCCCGAGATCAAGAGTTGCATGCTCTACCAACTGAGCCAGCCAGGCACCCCCTAATAATTTCCTTTTATTTCATTAATGTATGTTTGTCCTATCAGCAAGGATTTAAAGTGGCTGAAACCTATTATACCCCCAAGCTTTGTTCTAGGTATTGAAAACAAGGAATAAGATACATTCTTTGCCATCATGGATCATATTTCTTGGGGGTATTAATTTCCAGGGAAATAAACTCTTGCTCTCACCCACTGGATTTGAATAGAAATTACTCCCATTTCAAATAAGAAATATATTACATAAAAAAAATTTTTCAAGAGTTCTGAGTCCTGCCAATAATGCAGGAATGCTGAGAGTGGGGAAAGAACCAAATAGGAAAAAAAAAAAAAAACCAAAAAACTGTCCAGATAATATTTAATATAAGTGAAATGCAAAATTTTGGTAAGAAATAACTAGTATTATGTTTACAAGAGTGTCAAAGGGGGTTTAATGCCCCCCCAAAATATCTTAACTTCTCGTTTGACCTATCGTAACAAGTACATTTCTTATTCTCTTTCACAATAAAGTCACACAGCAAGCCACCAGACTCAAAAGAAAGCGTAGCTCTTAATATCATGTGACATCTAATTTATGTTCTAATAGTAATACTATGTGTTGGTAAAATGAACTTACTTTTAATATTTTCACATTATTGATAACACAGACAAGGACTTTTGTGACCACACACACACAATCCGGGTCCAGAGAGGCAAACTTAGAATTTACACACCAAAAAGGTAATTTGCCTGTGTTTTCTATGTAGACTATTAACAAAACACTAGTTCTAAAAATATATAGTATTATATCCCCCAAACCCCTAAATGCTATCCATAATTAGTTTCCCAAAAATAGTAGTGGGAAAGCAAATTTGATGAAATCAAGGTGATAGATTTTTTAAAATTAATAATAATTTGCTTGCTGAATGTAGATAGTGTGGAAGGATTTTCCTAACCTTTGGTTTAAAAAAAAAAAATCCAGGTAAAAGCACAAAGGCAATGAGAATTAACTAAGGTGGGGGGAAAAAGTTCAATAAGCAATACACATGTGATGCCAGCAGGTGAGGCAGAGATCTTGAGAGAGTACATGAGCGCTGACCTTGGGTAAGGAAGGTGCCAGAATGACCTTCACTTAGCCAGCTCTTCAGCCCATCTTGATGTTTCTGTGAGGAATCTCATGTGCCTCTCATACAACAGGGGAAGGGCTATGCCTCACTTGACAAAGACTTCCAGGGAACCCCACTGTATTTCAAAGAGCACACAAAACCACTTATCAAAGAAAAAAACAACTAGAGTTAGAGAGTCCTATTACTATTGAGATGAACCTATATGCAGATGGGATCTTGATAGCCATCCAGCCCAAATCCAATGTCCCTTTCAGAGCATCTGGGACGGATGATTATTTTAACCTTTGTTTGGGCATTTGCCACAACAGGAAATTTTACTGCTCGAGTCTATTTCTCTTTAGAACCACTCTTATTAAAAAATTCTTTCTTATGTTGAAGCAAACATCTGTCATCTATAAAGTTCCTCTTTGTTCCTATTTTTGCCCTTTTTGAAGTTACACAGGGTAAGTCTAATTCCTCTCCTTTTTTTTTTATAACTCAACAGAAATTTCAAGGCAGCTATATTATTTTATTCTCTCCTATTCTATTCCCCTCTTCCTTGTATCATCAGACCCTTCACAACCCTGGTAACCTGCCTCTGGACACAATTTATTAATGTCTCTCTTAAACTATGGTACCCAGAATTGAACTCAACCCTCCATCCAGATGTGGACTGACCAATGCAGCATGCAGGGCTCCCTGGGCTTCTGTTACCACAGGCTGAATGCACTGACTTTGTGAACGGTCATGATGCACTCCTGATTCAATGCTGAACTCCTATTTTGACATGAACTGCTATGAAACTAGGACTTTTCAATACCCTTCCCATCAACATACATGTAAGTAATACCTCTCTGTATTTAGAGGGCTGCATTTAAGCAACTAGAATATAGTTTCTCATTAATGTCTACTGAATTTCATCCTTTTAGTTTCAGTCTTATGTTCAGGTAGTTAAGAAAAATGGAATGATGTCTATATTCTAGTGTCAGTACATAGTTATAATTCAATGAATATTCACTGAATAAATTAATCCTAAATCTGCCAGTCGAGGCTGGATATATCGTTTATTTCTCTGTGTCATCTGACAAATCTGACAAGCATGCTTTCAGTCCCCTTACTCTCTTCTTCATAGGAGAAACAGGCAGATAGAACGTCCCTGTAAATTGTTGAGCAGGTGTCCCATTTGGGATGGCCAATATAGGTCCGTGTATGGTAAGAAAACACCAAGATACAAGTAAGAAGTGGAGATACAGAATGTAAACGGGAACCTATGAAGGGAAAGAAGACTGAGTATCCCAGACTCTTGGAATTGGAACTTAATGTTCCCAACATTAGAAAAATATGGCTTTCCCCCATCTCTACCCTAGAGACTTCTGCCTTGTAGATCTGTTACAATACTGTGATTATCAAACTCTGAATTTTGGGGAAAAGCTCATGTAAGCTCAGTTTTAAAATAGCTTTTAAAATGATCTTTTCCACTTTATGTCCTGTAAATTCTGAGTTAAAGAGACATGCAACTGTCTATAGGCTTGAGGTATAACAAGAGCTCCCAAATGCTCCTGACAAATGCCTGAGGTATAATATATATAGATAGATAGATCTATTTGTTTCAGGAATTGGAAATGGCCTATATTTTTCAGTGTGAATTTGAGAATTCACTGAGATTGAAAATGTCTCCTGAATTGAATATAATCTTACAATTAATGTCCCTTTTCCCCCAGAATGAAGAAAAATAAGCTCAATTTTGCTTTCCCTTCCATAGCCACCCTTTGCAGAATGTGGGGCTAATCACAGAATAAAAAAGTATCCCTATTGTGCCTTTTTTCCATTGTGTATTGTGACTCAGGGTGGTGAACCCTGGGACTAGAGAGATGGAAAAAGTGTTTCCATCAAAACAATCCAAAACTGGGAGGGAAATGTCTTGAAAACTTTTGTTGCATAGTGTTAACATTGAAAGAATGGAGACACATACCCAAGCCTAGGAGACCCAAAGAGGAAATGTGTTCTGTGCCTCTTCTGAACCTTTTCTAGAGGGCGTGACAGAGGGGGATTCTCAAGACTGTGTTTTCTAGAAAATCATGGAAGTGACAGATGGACACCAGAAGGAAATCCTGCCAACACTGATGTGGAAGGTTCTCTTCCTGACTCCAGTAGTCACAATAAGCCACACTCAAGTACTACAAGAGAAACAGAGCAAAGAGAGGGAGGCTTAATTAGACAATAAGCTCCAAAAGTCAGGGGAACCAGCTGCTTCAAGCACATCAGAGGCTCTCCAACGCAATCACCTCAAGGTTTCCTGTTAGATTACAGGTAACTACACACAGGAAGGTCCAATATACTGTTCCCAGCACAGAGTAGCCATGGTGGGTACTGCCTTAAACTCCGGCTGCTCAGGAAGACATCCTATCATGACGCTTGGGTCAGGCCCCCTTGCAAGAGGGCTTCATCACTGGACCCCACACTCCTTGGGATTTTCCATTTCATCTCCTTCAAAGTCCGGCTTCAAACTCTTCTTTTGCTCAATTTCCACCTGTTGAGAGCAGAAGTTGGAAAGAAATATCAGAAAGAGGAGAAAAACATCCCAGTAAGAAATAATCGCAAAGAGAGTACCTCACCAGGTTCTCTGAGATTCCCTGTAATTTTGTCACTGTTTTGGGCTTTAGCCACATTGGAGCTACTGGCCCTGAGGACGTCATGATTCTCTGCACATGCTCTTCACTCGATCTGGAATTCCCTCTTCCTCACAGTCCACCTGGAAAATTTTTATTCTTTGCCTTGCACAGCTGCTCAAAGGTCACCTCTTCTGTGAAGCTGTTCTCAACTCATTAGGGAGTTCGGTGCTCCTCCTACGCATATTTCCACGTCCCTGGTACACGTGCCCAGCTCCAGCATTCCACAGGCTCCGCGGGACAGGGGCAGGCCCTCCTTTACTACTGTATCCCCATAATGCAGGCATGCAGCAGGCAAGCGCAAAGGTTTACCAAATGAATGGATTCCTTTTCAGCCGGCTGTTTATACTCTCTATTACTTTATTGCTTTACAAAGTCTCCAAACTGGTAAGTACGGTAGTGTTTACAGTTCTACCGGTGTTTTCTGTAAAATACTGTAGCTGTAACTGTAAAGGGATTAATAAATTCATCTTGCCTTGAAAGAGACACACACTGAAGCCTTTGACAAGTCAGAAAAGAAATACGTTAAGCAAGAGAGTTTCACAATTAAAGCTGTTCCTCTCTTTACCACTTTGGATATTTATGATGAAGGAAACAAAACAGTTGACTAGGGTCATGCTTGATGAAAGTGCTATTTTTTTTTCCTGGCCACAAGATGGAGTATTTGTTCTTTTTGGTAGTTTAAGATTTTCGATTATAGCCCAATGACCAGGTCATATGTGTCCTGACTTTACTTAGATCTACTTCATCAACTCTGAGGCTGAAATATATGCTTTGGGTTAGCACTTTCCTGAACTCCCCTCACTTTCCAAGTTCACAACTTCTGTAACATATATTATGAATGAGAATATAATATTATGATATACTCAATCATAATATTCATATTATATAATGTACAATTAATAATACATATTATATAATAATAATAATCCCTTTACCCCATGACTCTTTTGATGTTCACGATGATTGAAAGACATTATACTCTCCTCTTTCGTCTGCCTCTTTATTTTTTTCCAACCTTTCTCTTGCTCACTAGATTAGTCATTCAAATCAGAGCAGACTCATCCACAGCCATGTGTGGTGTACCTCTCTCTAAGGCAGTAAGAGAACACCTTGCATTCATGGCAGGCGCTGCTAAAGGGAACAAGATGGGGGTGGGGGAGGAGGGGAGAGGACAAGCAAATGATCTTGGACACATTAGCCAGATGCCTCCCGAGGTTACCTTATAGCTATAGTGTGCGGAATAATTGACCCATTTCCTGATGTCAGTCTTGTCTTCCACGGAGATGGATCTTACAGTGGCTTTGGAGGCAGAAGTTGTGGGCATGCTGAACTCAACATTCACATGACTGGCAAATCCGGAAGGCACTTCCCGGTCAGAGCCAAGTTCAAGGTGGCAGAAGAAACAGTGTGGGTGACCAGAAGCTATGAAAGGAAAAGAATCTAAACATTAGGTTCTTCGGAAAGACGTGGAAGGAGAGGCCCACAGAGCCACCTCAATTACCAAGAAGGCCTGAAGACTGCCTGCCAGCTCAGCACTGGGCAGTCTTTCAGAGCGTCCAGTGCTGAGCAGAGGATTTACTTCCACAGAAATCACACTGCCCGTGCCTCAGACCCTTTGAGAGAACTATCTCATTGCAGTAGCCTTGTATCCTAGCAATAAAACCCACAGCCTGAAAAACGGGTCATTCTGCCCGCTGAGGTCAGGGCGATATGGGAACCCAGCACCAATGCCAGAAACAGAGGCACAGATCTGGAGATCGGCAGAAAGGAGTAAAAGGGAGCAGCACTTAGCACTGAATAAAACATCAATGACAGCCACGTGGAGCAAAGGAATGGGTTCCCTTGGAAAGATGAGTTTTCTCAACAGCATTTCGTGTTTTTGCAAAAATGCTTTGGCACGTTTTTGTGCGTGGATGGCACATGTAAATGACAAAGCCCTTATAAACAGCATAGATGCATGAAGGATGTGCATGGTGCACTGGGTAGGACACAGACTAACAGGGCACTGCGTGTGGCTCATAGCGCTCCTGCGAAGTGGCGGAGATCCTGCACCCAAGTCCTTTGTTCTCCTCGCCTCAAATCCCGATTTGGAAAGTGGAGAAACGCAATGGGTAGTAAAGGACAGTGCCAGGCATAGTCCCTTCCTGCTCTTCAATTCTATCCATCTATGGCTAGTTCTACTGTACTTGGATGGAAAACTTAAGGATTTCCATTTGAGGGTTGTTATTAGATGTCTGAGTGAAGAGAGATCAGTTCTGTGGCTATACCCTCTGAAAGCATGGTTTGCTGAGCACTCTATACTGTCTCAAATGCTGCCTGCACACCCTCTCCCTGCATCTTCGTAATAATCCCTTGAGGTCATAGTCATTGCATTCTACAGATGAGGCCACAACAAAGGCTTTGGGAGGGAAAGCGAACTAGCCAAGGTCAAAGCTGGAAAGTGGCAGACTGAGGACTGAACCCAAGCACTCTGACTCCAAGGTGTTTCAACCACTCTGAGTCACAGCCTCCCATAGGGTCCCCAACCTCAAGACCAGGTTGGCAGGGTGACATGAGTGGAGAAGTGAGCTGTAGGACCCCCATACAGCAACTTGCCATGGATAAACAATGTGACATGGCTTTGACTTCATTATGTAATAGCAATGGTCCTTGGTTATCTGAGCTTCCCCAAATAAACAATTCCAATTTTCTTTACTGGCCTGGGCAGGACTTTTTAATCTCAGAGAGTGAGGACATACACACCCGCTCTCCAAGGAAAACATTACAGAGTGAAGTATTTGTTTTGCTCTACTTCACAAATAACATTTTTCAGTGGTTATTTCCAAAGAGTAATACTCTGGGAAACTGAGAAATCTGCACTGGCTTCTAGCAAAGAAATTTTAAGTTGGATACACATAATAGTAAAAATTACATTATCTAAAATGAATCCATGTGATTTTTTTTTAAATTACATTTGTAATTACATAGCTATCCGTTACATTTATTACAGGCCAGAGACTGTCCTGAACACTTAAAAGCATTATCTAATTTCTTTCTTAATGAGCTAGGTATTAATAACTCTCCTCTGTAAATGAGGACAATAAGATTTCTTTGAGAGGTTTAAGTAAATTGCCTGAGGTCACACAGCTACTAAATTGCAGCACTAGGAATAAAACTCAGATCTGATGCCGAATTATGTCCTAAACTCCTCTCTGTGTATTGCTATAGATTTAGATCACTATAAATTACAGAAGAGTTTCTTACTTTAATTCAATGGCAACTTGAACAACAGTTTTACCTAACTACCCTTATTTGCACATTGTTGGAATAATGAGAAATCATTACTTTCCATAAAGCTGACCTCTCCGCTCACCCCTCCAAAGTATATTCACAGCAAACTCTATGAATGTGGCATTCTTTCGTGATTCCCAGCATCAACTAATGGATGTGTAGGGCTGGTGGACAGGTAGGAAAGTGCAATTCTGAGAGCTAGTATAATTTATGGTAATGAACTAAGTGAGCCTACACATTTTGTCATCTTCCTTGATGAAGGTGAGAAAATTTAACATTAAAATTCAGATTTCCAGGGGCGCCTGGGTGGCTCAGTCGTTAAGCGGCTGCCTTCGGCTCCGGTCATGATCCCAGAGTCCTGGGATCGAGCCCCGCATCGGGCTCCCCGCTCGGCGGGAAGCCTGCTTCTCCCTCTCCCACTCCCCCTGCTTGTCGCTGTCTCTGTCTCTGTCAAATAAATAAATAAAATCTTTAAAAAAAAAAAATTCAGATTTCCATTTTCCATAAAAGGCAAACTATATTGAAATTGTTTTCTCTTGGTCTAATATTAGAGAACTGGAGTTCCAGCAAAGAAAGCTACCTATGCAGGACAGAATGTTTTGTTTCCTGGCAGATGATCTGGGCAAGCAGTAGGACTTGTTCTGGTACCTTCTAGGATTAAGAAAAGCTCTAGGGATCAGGGTGAGAGGGGTCCTTGAATAGCCCGGTGGGAAGGCAGGGGTGGCTGTACATGAACACGGCTGGGCTGGACCTGCCAGTTTAAACCATGCTGGACTCCAGCGGCAGCTTGTTAATTGTTTGGCGGCTAGACTGGGACAAGCCCGCTGTAGCTGCAGCGATCAGGGGTGCTGACCTGCGGTCCCATGCTGCCTACGGTCTGACTGCCCTGCCTGCTGGGGGCTAGAGGACAGGACCACCGCAGGCAGGAGTAAGCATGTAGAGGTTCTGCTCTCCTTTACTGTAAATGGAGGGGTGAGAATTATGAAAAATCACCTGTAAAAGGCACCTTCCCAAAGCCGTCTGAAGACCAAGATGAGCTCAGAAAAGGGATGATAACTAATGGAGGGCACACTGGATGGGGAGAATAGGAGCTGGTCACAGGGAGCAGTGGCGATGCTAAGAACCTGCCATCTAACTGCAATTCAGATCCTGTACATCTCAAGTTTCCAGAAAAGGGTCTTACCAATTTCCCGAATCTATCCAGAAATATACCATTGGCCAGGAGTAGTATAAGAAGACCTTTCTGGGTGTGTGTGTGTGGGGGGTGGGGGTTGTTACTAAAAATGTATAACCAGGATGCCTGGGTGGCTCAGTTGGTTATGCATCTGCCTTCGGCTAGTGTAATGATCCTGGGGTCCTGGGATCGAGCCCCACATCGGGCTCCCTGCTCCGCGGGAGGCCTGCTTCTCCCTCTCCCACTCCCCCTGCTTGTGTTCCCTCTCTCGCTGTGTCTCTCTCTGTCAAATAAATAAATAATTAAAAAAAAATGTTAAAAAAAAAAATCTTTCACAAATAAAGGTTCCAGTAATCAGGGAATACGTTTGCAATACATAAGCTGCATTTCCTTGGCCTTGAGCCTACTGAGCACTAACCTGCTGGGAAGCATTAAGGCAAGTGTTTGCTGAAGACCTACATGTTCCCTTGTCTTGCACCCATTTCCCCCTTTCTTTTGGTAACAATCTTTCCCCCCCCCTTGCTTTGGGAAATAATCTTCCCCAGCACTGCATGTCAGTCAAAATGCGCTATCCTCCCCTTGACTCCTGAGTCAAGTGGCACAAGGACAGAAAATGGCTTGTGATGATTTATCCCAATGGCTGCAGCCTGAGGAGACATCTCAGTTCTGCTTCCAAGAGCTATCCTTTGTAAGCCTGCATGCTCAACCTTACAACCTTTCCTTCAGTTCCCTGAGCCACCCTCCAACAATCTTTTTTTTCTCAGTTGTCTTTGCTGCTTATAACCCAAACCCCCTCATACAGTACTGTTAAATATCTGAGAGAAAGAACTTTGAAACAAATGAGATAGATGTGTACACACTGAGAAAACTGCAAATCTCTCTTCTCTTAGAGGAAATTCTTTCACGTTTGTGTCTATCTGGTGTCCTCCACTAAGAGGCAGCTTGGTTATTGAGAAAAGACCCCTGGATGTGGCTTTGTGACTTCAGACAAGTCATGTTGCTCCCGGTCCTTAATTTTCTCATCTCTAGAAGGAAGAGGTTTGACTGAGTTATCCCCAAGGCCCCTTCCACCTTGAAGACTCAGTAATTCCATAATGAAGTGATCTGAATCCATGCTTCACAAACTGAAGGGCCAAACATTCCGATTAACATAAGCCTGAGGCCTTGTCTTTTAGGATGTCAAGTCTCCAGCAGGTTCAACAGTAACTTGCCCCCTTCCACCTCACTTCTCTTCTCAAGGGCTTCTGTGCCAAAGGAGAGTTCAGGGCTTTTCCTTTCCTCCGTCAGTTCAGACGGGTTCCGTGGCTGAGGTAGAAATCACAGTGCTATCACCAGGAGAATACAGTGCCGATTTCAGGAGAAATGAATAAGCAAGCACAGAGAGGAAGACTTTGTTTTTAAAAATCCTGTCAGTTTAGAAACGGGGGTGGGAGTGGGGGTGTCTGGCAAATCCAGCCGCAAACACAGAGGTCCCATTGTCTCTTCATTTTGCACCACTACACCCAGTGTCTGGCACAGAATGCCCCGGTGTGTGTGTGCACGGCTTGGACGGCCTGGGGAGGTGGCCAGACCGTCCTGCCTCTTGCAGTCACATCATGTCCCATGCCGGGTAGGATGACACAGCCACACTCGGCACAGGAAATGAAGACTCCAAACGTACGATCAGGGTTTAATAGTGAGAATGGAAGAAGAGGATTTGCGTAAGAGAAGGACATCTCCGTCAAGAGTTCTTCCAAAGCTTACCCTTTCTGCTTGGCTAGGATATCTACTTTCGTTAACAAATGGGCGAAGTTTACAATAAACAAGAAGAGAAGTGGTTTAACGGACCATAGGATCACGGGCTTACTGCCTGTCACTGGGGTCACTCAGACTTACTCTAAGAAATAAGGCTATTACAGCTGGCTGGATTACTCTCTGGTTTTGTCATTTCATTAAACTCACTGGACCCCCGAGGAAAGTCATCGCCTTCCGTGCTCACTCAGGCAGAACAGCATCCCCGATAGCTGTGAGCAACCCAGCTTGGGCCGGTAAGCTTGCTTTCTTTGTTTCAATCAAACATACCTTCCTTTACTTTGTGTCTGATAGAATTTCAGCCCTTTTGGCCTTTCTGGTCCTGGCCGGATCTTCAGTCTGATCAGAAGCCCTTTGTCCTCTTCCCCATCCTCAACTCCCAACTCTGAGTTGGAGATGTTATGACCGACAGGTCTCGCACAGGGAGACTGGAATTATTAGTCTGACTCCTCACCTGTAGTGTATATATGACTGGCCCCTTTACCTACTCAAGGCAGTGAGAAAGATACCTCTTCAGAATCCAGAGGCTTTCTAGGATCTAGAAATAGACAGCTTCCGGCACCACAGGTAATACTTGAATGAGTCAGAAAAAGAATACAAATTCATAAGCTGCTATGCAAATCTGCTTAGCAGCTCAGCTGAGAAGAATAACGCAGAGTTTTCTAGAAGTAGGATAATAAGGGAGTGAGAAAATGGAGTGAACTAGGTCATTCGTGTTTCTTACTTACTTTTTGCTCAAGTATTTTTGCTTCTCTGGTCCCACTTCTCCGTTAACCTTATTTCTGTCACACAACAAAACCCAGCCCTTCATAGGGGAACAGAATGCAGAACTCTGACCCCAGCTCTCGTGTGACCATGTGGCAGTTTTCACAGAAGAGAAACCACTACCTACCTGAATTTTTGTCAGGCAGTCGGTTTATCCTCCACACAATGGAGTTGAAGGCATGTTCATACTTGGCAGTTCCCAGAGTTACTCTCATGACAGGCTCAGAGCCAGACATACTAGTTGAGCCAAAACTCGCCCCCCGGTTCACTTTGGCTTTTAAAGACTTTTCCCCCAGGACGCTTTCCCTGCGGAAGTTTTTCACCCACTCACTGGGCACAGGGTAACGAACCATCACATTCTCACAGGGAACCTGAATGAGCGGGTCTTGGTTAGAGGAGAAGCCGGCTGACATCCTAAGCCAGCTCTGCACCTCCACCTCTGCCCCGTTGATGCTTGCTGCTGTCCTGAGTGTGAAAGGCAAGGTCTTCTCCGCAAATACTGTCCTGAACCGCATGAGCTCAAACCGGCAGGCATCCAAAGGGTTGAACAGAATAACCCGTGAGTTGTTGAATACGTCCTCATCCACACACCCATGAAAACGGCACTGATGGAGCTTGATCCACTTTGTGGTGGTGGTGGGCATGATGTCTTGCCGGGAAACTATTTCGTTCCCTTTGACGAGGACATCGTTGAGGCCCAGGCGGCACTCTGCCAGCCCAGAGAGGAAACTCAGAATGTGGATCCGTGTCAAGACATGGTGCTGGAGGATCTGGTTGTCTCCTTTGCTCACAATGCCAGAGAATTCATCCTTGACATCCACAGTAATCTCCTCTTCAAGGTAGTTCAAGCCAACTGTGCTCAAGTCCATTGACAACACTGGCAGGTTCATGAGCTGGTCTTGAACAGCGCGGATGAAACTCAGGAAGTCATCATAATTGGTGGTGCCCAGCTTAATCACTTGTTCCCTCTCTGCTGTGTGGGCCACAGCAGGTTTGGGCTGGTATTTCTTCTTCTCCTTGTAGGTGACACGGTCTATTCGCAAGCTGTGGATCCTGCCATTCTCGTCATAGTTTTGGAGCCGGGGTTCCGAAATTTCATGGCAGATCTCCAGCTTGAACTCACGGAATGGTTTTTCTAGACCCTGCTCATAATACAGCTGTAGGTAACCACTGTCTGTCAGTTTGATGTAGATGGGTCCCCAGTGCCTAGATGACATGATGTTTTTCTTCTCAGGGATCCTTAGCATCATTGGCCACCCATGCCTGGGCTGGGACAGTGCTAAACCAGGTGGGTGGTCATCTAGTTCAACCCATGCTATAGGGTCATCATCTGGTAATGTCACACTGCCTAAACTATCAGGATCATCAATCTGGAGTTGTTTGAGTTTTTCAACAGCATCAGAGTGGGACTGGTTTTTGCTTGAGTCATCAAAACTGATGGCATCCTGATAGATGACAATGAGAGAATCTCTTTGGCTCTTGCCTGTGGCACTGGAAATGGAACTGTTTTGGGAGCGCCTCTTCTGCTCCTCAAAGAAAGCAATGAAAGGGTTGATAGGGGAGGGTTGGACATCCTGCAGAGTCTCATTCAGGAAAGGATTGGTTGCCCTCCAAGGTGGAGCCTCAGTTACGGAAGGTGGATGGTTTAAGGATGAGATGTCCAGCTTCTGAACTTTGGAAAAGTTCATCAAAGTGCTCTTGGGACGTTCCCTCTTCTTAAATGACCCAGCTGAGTGATGAGGCACATCTGGGATCACAGATGCAACAGGTGGTGGGTTTGGCTTCAGGGGAGAGGTGACTGGTGGCAAAGGGCAGCTGACCTCATTGTCATCAAAAGTGACCCAGCTGGGGAAACGAGCAGAGGTCAGTGGAGTGGCAGGATGTCCATTCATGGCTGGACTACTGGCCTGCCAGCTGATGGCCTCCATCTCTACCTCTTCATCTTCCTGGACTGAGGAAGAACTGTCTAAAAGAAAAAGGAGAACATATGAGGGCTGCTATTCAGGGCCTCTTAGAAGTTTGGGAAACTGAGGTATGGGAGTGAAGGATGACTAGAATTTTATCTGGAAATTCCAAAGCAGCTCATTACCTGTGTCAAGTGCTAGTTTGGGCACAGATCTTATAATTTTGTAATAAGCACAGCACAGGGGCCACACATCAAATGCAGTAAGAATTCAAATGGGTCTATCGATATAGAAGCACCGATAGGACCAAGGTCCCTTGTAGTTTAACTCTTATACATTCTCCCTTTGATAGAAGTTTCTAGAATAGATGTTGTCCTTACTATGCTCTAAGGTATACATTAATTTTTAGACATTGAAAACCACCTCCTACAAAAGTGATACAAAGCTGATCTCATCTCATTGAACAAAACAAATTATCTGTTCTAAGTGATTGCAAATAATGTAATTGGAGGGATTTTTGCCCAAATGTGATCAATAAATATTAAAGACAAATTATTAACACCCTTAAGATGAAATAAGTTCATACAAGTGAATAAGAAGACTATAAAAACTCCAATAGAAATATAGACAAAGGACATATACAGATAGCTCAGGAGAGAGAAACTAAAAATGTCTAATAAGCATGTGAAAAAGTGTCCAATCTCACTAGTAATAAAAAAAATGTAAATTAAAAACAATCAGTGAAGATTTTTAAAGTTTTTAGTCTTCAGTGAGGGTAAGGGTACCATGATATGAACAGTAAACAGACCTTTAATGGGACTGTAAGTTGCTATAAACTCTCTATAAGTCATTTGGCAATTTGTATTAAGGGTTTTACAAATGTGCATAAACAGTAACTTTGTAATTTTGCCCTAGGGAAATAAATCCAAATTGTGAACCAAGTTTTGGGTAAATGTTAAGAAACTAGGGTATACAATAGAATAATACCTAGCCATTAAAACATTTACAAGTACACAGTAACATGAGAAAACACTCATAATATAATCTCTTCTTTTTCCTCTAAAATACTTTTCCATCTTGGGGCTTATTTATCTTATGGGGGGAAAGGGGGGTTATTATAAATAAAACTCCACCTTAGCAGGGCCTTCAAGGGAGGTGATACAGGACTTGAGTTTCCATGTGGGAAAGAGCCAAACTTTTCAGGTAGCATAAAGACCCTGTGTATCTGCTGGGATTGTGGAAAGGGAGGGGGAAATTGAAGCCTTTAGCAAGGAGTGGACTGTGATGAAGGAATGGCACAGAAAACAAATCTGTGTCTGGCATATAGTAGATACTCGGTAAAAGGTTTGTTGATTGAATAAGTGAGAAAAGAGACATTGCGTGGGGCAGCTCTATTTTCTCTGTCCCTGGAGGAATGCATATGGGGATCTCTGCTACAATTCCACCCACTGTTTCTACTGCCAGTAATCTGGCATCAAAGAGAAATCAATCGATGCTCAGTGGTTGAGTCAAGTAGTTGAGTTTTCTGACCACCTCACTAAACCTTCACAAATATCTAACCAAACGAAATCAGCAATGCCATACGTAATTGCAAGTGAAATTACATGTGGATGGGATGGCTCGCTTGTTATTCATCTTTCCGAGTGTATTTATTCAAACAAAGAGTAATTCCCTCTATTGAAAACGTCGCTTTGAAAATGTAGGCTAAGTATGTGAGCATGCATACACACATATCCACACTCATCCCAGATATATAATGGGTAAAAAAAGTGTTTTCTGTAGGCACAGCAACTACAAAAGGATTTCAAAGCATTTTAAAATTAAAAATGAGACTTTCCTTCAAATTAATCATTAATCCACTTTTGCAGATGTGTGATTTATTTTCTAGAAAATGAAGGGAAAAGGGTCAGTAAACAACCCAGGTTTTTAGGATTTATATTTTATTATCATTATCATTTCTACTACTACTACTACTACTACTACTACTACTACTATTATTGTATCAAAGGCTAAAGGGAACAATGTGGCCCTGAGTAAAATATAATCACTTCCTTGGAACAGTAACTGATCCTCCCTAGACAACTGGAAAAGGAGTGCATCTCAAAACTCATCAATTATTTAGGAAGCCGCTCTAAGGCACTTTTGTAACAGTACTGTTCCCACCCAAACAGCTTGGTATTGACCCAGACCCTGTACCAGGGATATCCTTTTTGCCTTGGGGCTCATCACCACTCCCTAGTTTGAACAAGCCGAAGTCCTTTTCCTTTGGAGGGTGCTTTTCTGCCAAAGCTGTTTATTCTTGCTGCCAAAGGATTCCCTTCTGTTGAGAATCTTGTCTCCAAAATAGCATTTCTCATTTTCCTCTATGAAGCCAAAAAAGAAAGGAGGGGGAAAAAAAAAAAAAAAAAAGCCTTTGTCCCCACTGAACATAATTTTTTTTTACAATAAATTCCTTTCTAAATGAAGTTATTTAAAATCACACAGAGTCCTAGACAGTTTTGAAGCATTAGACTTGGAATACAATTTAAATGAAGTTTCTTTAAATCTGCAGGGAGAATTTTTAATTAAATTAATTTCTAGAGATTCTGTATTCTCTTTGACAGCCATTAAAAAGAATCAAAAGACTTTGTTAAAAAATATTCTCTCTGTTGGCAGTTTCATCTCCCATGATTACAATCCATTTTAAAAATCCATCATTTGGGGCAGTAGTGGGGCCTACGTCAAATTTCTGGAAATGAGATTTTCTTTCTACAAAATCATTTATAAAGAAAAAATGTCTTAATAAAGATACTTTTACAGATGAAAAGCAAAAGTGGTCTCTAGTTCACATGAAAATAAAGCATTTCTTGGGGTGAACCCAAGGACTGACAAATACAACTTTAAAAAATAATCCCTTATTAACACTGACTTCCTTATTTGTAAGCTCTTACTTTTCCATCATTTATCATTGACTGAAAGACATCTTCAGTTGTTTTTGCAAAGATTAGGTCATATATTTTCTGACCCTCTTTTTTTAAAATTAATTAATTAATTTTTTTGATGTAGTGTTCCATGATTCATTGTTTGCGTATGACACCCAGTGCTCCATTCAATATGTGCCCTCTTTAATACCCATCACCAGGCTAACCCATCCTCCCACCCCCTCCCCTCTTAAACCCTCAGTTTGTTTCTGAGTCCATAGTTCTGAGCCTCTTTTTATTAAAACCTCTTTATTATATTATTCGAGACTTTCATATGTAAAAAAACAACTTACCTGTATGTGAAATTTCTGGAGGAAAATATTTGTATCATACATGACAAAACCTTGGTATCCTTTTTGTAATATGACAGTGTATTCTTAATACAAATGATACACCTGGGGCACCTGGGTGCCTCAGTCAGTTAAGCATCTGCCTTGGGCTCAGGTCATGATCCCGGAGTCCTGGGATGGAGCCCCAAGGTGGGCTCTCTGCTCAGCGGGGAGTCCACTTCTCCCTCTGCCTCTGTCCTCCCCACCGCACTCATGTTTTGCTAATTAAAAAAAAAAAAAAATTCTTAAAAAAAAGATACACCCTCACCAAAAAATTAAATAAAATAAAATAGGGTAAGAACAGATAATTTGCTAATGAAGAAATATAAATGTTTAATAACTATTTGGGAAAGAAGTTTAACCTTATAAAACAATAAATACAATTATCTCTGTGTCAAAGAGACAAAAATTTAGTATGACTAATAATCATTATTTGTGACACAAAGGAATTTACACTCTGATGGAAGTGTTCAAAAAATCTTTCTGAGGGGCAATTTGAAAATTTGTATAAAAGTCTCAAAAAATGTGATCCAAAAACTCTATTCACAGGAGTGTAATCTAAGGAAAGAACAAGACAGGCATGCAAAGAGTATATAGTGGTATGCTTATCACAGTAATGTTTGTATCATAGAAAAATTGGAAACAACCTAAATGCCCAATAATGGGAGACTGGTCATATTAAGTATCATACCCCGAAAACGGAATCCCATGCAGCTATCAAGACAATGCTACTGATGTATGTTTATTTACGTGGAAGCTGATCATGATATATATTGTTGAGTGAATAGTAAAGGGTACCTACAAACTGGAGTCAGATTGCCTTGGTTTCAATTGTGTACCAGCAGCTTATTAGCTAAGTGACTTTGGGCAAGTTGTTTAATTTCTCTGCAACTCAGTTTTCCCTGAGAAAATATTAAATCCTACCTGGCGGGGTTGTTGGGAAGATACAGATGCTAGAATTGTGCCTGGCAAGTAATAAATGTTCAGTATGCGTCAGCTGTTATTACTACTACTACTAGAATGGTACATTTTCATGATATAAAGCATACATGTATTAAAAAGCTTTGGAATATAATAGTTCATAATATTTTGATGTGAAAACAGATGTCTCCTATGGGGTAAGAGGTGATTTAAAAAATATTAAATCTGTATTAAAAATACCGTTTGGGGCGCCTGGGTGGCTCAGTTGGTTAAGCGACTGCCTTCGGCTCAGGTCATGATCCTGGAGTCCCGGGATCGAGTCCCACGTCGGGCTCCCTGCTCAGAAGCAGGAAGTCTGCTTCTCCCTCTGACCCTCCTCCCTCTCATGCTCTCTGTCTCTCATTCTCTCTCTCACAAATAAATAAAATCTTAAAAAAAAAAAAAACAACTAAAAATACTGTTTGCTGGGGCGCCTGGGTGGCTCAGTCGTTGAGCGTCTGCCTTCAGCTCAGGTCATGATCCCAGGGTCCTGGGATCGAGCCCTGCATCGGGCGCTCTGCTCGGGGGGAGGCCTGCTTCTCCCTCTCCCACTCCGCCTGCTCGCGTTCCCTCTCTCGCTGTCTCTCTCTGTCAAATAAATAAATAAAATCTTAAAAAAAAAAAATACTGTTTGCTTACAAAAATAAAGAAATAAAAGGTCAAAACGCACCTTTAGCACTCCTGCTAATTAACCTCAGAGAAAGAAAACAGTTTAGATGTAATCCATGTTGATAAAGCAGTAGTTAGATCTTTCCCATGACACTTATGACTGATGTGGCTGATACTGGAAACACTAAAGGTAGGGAGCGGGGA